TATATTTTCTTCGTCTAAAATCATAAATAACTCAAGCGATGATCGATTTCATCAAACACATTAAGTTAAGTCTAAAGAAGAAGGTTTCCAAGATAAAAAGTGATAATGGCTCAGAATTTAAGAACAAGGTTCTTGATTCATTTTTGTCTGACAAAGGGATTTCACACAATTTCTCATCCCCTTACACACCTCAACAGAAAAATGTTCTCGGAAGGAGGAATTTTTCACTCTGCGAAGCTACAAGAACAATGTTGACTTATGCAAATCTTACATAATATCTCTGGGCTAAAGTTGTTTCTACTATTTGTTTTACGCAAAATTGGTCATTTATTCATAGATGATTCGATATCACCCCATATGAAATCATTAACAATAGGAAACCCAATGTTAAAATTTTCCATGTTTTTGGTTGCAGCAGCTTCATTATGAATTTTAAGGATAATCCTTCAAAATTTCAGCCCAAGGCTGATGAAGGAATATTCTTAGGCTATTCTCATAATTATGTAGCATACAGGGTGCTCAACAAGTGGACTAGGAAAATCGAAGAAACCTTTAATCTCACATTCGATGATCACTATGTCAAAAGATTCAAAATGTGTTTTGAACAAAAACAAATCATTAATGAGTCAAATGAAGGATCTGAAAGTATTAAATCATTAGATTTTGATTATGATTTCATTTTTGGTGTTCTAGATCAGGCTATTGATGCAGAAGTACATACTGATGACAATCGAGTTCCTGAAGCATCGAAATATTTTGATGAATCATCTCTAACACAAGATAATCATGATATGTATTCATCAACAGATTCTTCCAGGAATAACGAAAGTCTGCCTATTGTACCGAATGTTCAAGTTGAGGAGGCGCACCTGAATATGTCCACTCAAGTTGAGCGAGAGCATACTTTCGAGGGGGAGAGTGAAAGAATGAATGGTGATATTGGGGGGGGGGGGAGCAATCTGATAATAATCCAACTATCTAGGCGGAGCAAGATGAAAATAATACTAATGTTTCTAATGTTCAAAATGATGAATTTCATGATATGAATGATAATTTGTCAAATGCAGGTGAAGGATCTGAAAATGAAGAAATGTTTGAAGATGCACCATTTGGGTTTTGATCCTACATATCCTCCGATGGATAGAGGGACTCGAAGTCATCCTCAAGAACAAATTTTTGGTATTCCATAAGCAGGAGTATTGACTAGAGCTCAGATTCATATGAAGAATGAGGTACTAAATACTCACCAGGAATTTTGTATGTTCAATGTTTTTATTTCGAAAATTGAACCAAAGTCAGTAAAGATTGATATGGATGATCCTGATTGGATTGTTGTTGTGCAATCTAAATTGGCTAAATTTTAAAGAAACAAGGTTTGGAGACTTGTTCCAAGACATCTCTTGTCGAAACCAGGCACGTTATAGGTATGTAAACATTCTATGTTTATGATCTAGATTCATGAAACTGTGATGAAAGTGAAACCCAAAATTTCGAACCATTCAAGGAATTGACGGGGAACTTTGTTCCAGATTTTAATGAAACATTTGTTTCAATAGCTATTTTTGCTACTACAAATCATATTCTTTCGTTCTGTGTGATCTTCATAAAATATTTGAATCCCATGACATTTTTACCCAATGATATCCAGAAATAATTTTGTTTTTTGGAATATGATTTCAATGTGAGTATTATTCTGATTCTTCGTTACTTGATAAATTTTTTAAAGCATACTTGTCACTGACTACACTGGTCAAAGATGTAATTTCGATTACAGTTTATCACACTTATGTTTAGTTATGATATGTAACGAAATTTTCAACCACCCATACTACTTTTTAAAAGAAGCCCTTCAATACTTCTTTATAAGTATTCGATTGTAATTTATAGGAAACCACACAAGCTGCTAGTCATCTCTCTTGATGAATAACAAAGTGATCTTTGCTTGGGATCTTACTGCTTTTATGTCGAAATTTTTTTGACCTCACAGGATCCAAAATTTTCTTGTATTGCTTTTTATATTTTTTGGTACACTTTGCACTCATGAAATCCTCGAGGTTCTAAGTAATACCAACTTAGGCTGATGATTTCAAAAGTCTGGCAAACGACTTCGCTTTTAACCCCAAAAGTAAAGAGCCTAACCTCCATGTCGAAGGTTGATGACGGTTCTTATTCTACATGGGCAAACAAAAATTACTTTGGCGGGACGTTTTGGGTTCCAGTCCAGTTTTCAAGGAAAAAGTGCTCATCACTTTTTCAGATGTGGCTATTTATCCTGCTACCGGTGTGCTTTTCAAGGAGCCACGTCAGATGCATTTATTGCTGGAAACCGCTTCAAATTCAAATCCAGTATACGTATAAAAAAGGGTTTTGGGGTTTCATTTTAACTTTACACATTCAAAATATCCCCAAATCAAAAGAATTATCTGTCTTCTTCACTGATTTTCAAACCCTAACAATGGCGGAACCAAACGTTAGTGTTGATCCTTCACAAACTACTGAAGATATCACATCGCAACCGCTTATGAAGATATAAAGTACTAATTTTCAACTGCAATCGAATGTTTGTCTGCTGCGATGTTTTCTTCATTCTCAATCCCATTATCTTGGTTATCACTTGCTGGGTCTACAACGGTTTACAACAAGGCAGTGAAGATCATTACTTTCAGATGATGAATGATAAGAAGTTCACGATTACACAGAAATTAGTTGCACAAATCTTGAAGTTACCTACATCTTCTTTGTATTATCAGATAACTAATGAACAAGTTATTCATATGTTTAATGAGATAGGATATCATCCTCCTCTTACCAAGATTAGTGAGTTCAGGAAGTCTAGTTTACCATTTATGTGGAATTTCTTGTTTCGAATATACCTTCGTTGCTTGACGGGTCATAGTGTGTGATTAGACAAAGCCAAGATGGAAATCTATATGTTAGTGGTGGGAACTTACTATGATATTCCTATGGATTATGCCACACAGCTATGGGAGGAGTTTATTAAAAGCATCAGCAACACGAATGTTGTTAATGGTATTTTGTGTGCTTGATATTGGAGTTTGATTCTTCAGTATGCTTATGACAAAGAAGGAATTCTAGTTCCTAATGATGAACAGATAGTAGATTTTTCGATGTATCAGTTTCCGATGGTCGTTGAAGATGATGAAGAGGTTTTTCCAAATGTTTCTGAAATTCTAAATGCAATGCTTCACAAAGTTGATCCATCTCATCCTGTATTGGTGAGTTATTTGACTACGATCAAATTGATATCAAAGCTGGTGTTTTGTTACCTAAAAGCACTAATTCATCAAAGATGAAGGGGTCTAAGAAAGAGACAAAGGAAAGTTCATCAAACACACAACCTGAGAAAGTTGAGAAGGTTGTTAAGTTTACTTCAAAGAAGGTAGTATTAACTGAACCACCTTCAAAGGTTGTTTCTAAGCCCCTTTCGAAGCCTGAAATGGAAGTCTTACCATCGAAATCTGGTGTGTTGAAAAATATGAAAAAGATGGCTCATAAACCGCATTTATTGCTGGAGCCACGTCAGATGCATTTATTGCTGGAAACCGCTTCAAATTCAAATCCAGTATACGTATAAAAAAGGGTTTTGGGGTTTCATTTTAACTTTACACATTCAAAATATCCCCAAATCAAAAGAATTATCTGTCTTCTTCACTGATTTTCAAACCCTAACAATGGCGGAACCAAACGTTAGTGTTGATCCTTCACAAACTACTGAAGATATCACATCGCAACCGCTTATGAAGATATAAAGTACTAATTTTCAACTGCAATCGAATGTTTGTCTGCTGCGATGTTTTCTTCATTCTCAATCCCATTATCTTGGTTATCACTTGCTGGGTCTACAACGGTTTACAACAAGGCAGTGAAGATCATTACTTTCAGATGATGAATGATAAGAAGTTCACGATTACACAGAAATTAGTTGCACAAATCTTGAAGTTACCTACATCTTCTTTGTATTATCAGATAACTAATGAACAAGTTATTCATATGTTTAATGAGATAGGATATCATCCTCCTCTTACCAAGATTAGTGAGTTCAGGAAGTCTAGTTTACCATTTATGTGGAATTTCTTGTTTCGAATATACCTTCGTTGCTTGACGGGTCATAGTGTGTGATTAGACAAAGCCAAGATGGAAATCTATATGTTAGTGGTGGGAACTTACTATGATATTCCTATGGATTATGCCACACAGCTATGGGAGGAGTTTATTAAAAGCATCAGCAACACGAATGTTGTTAATGGTATTTTGTGTGCTTGATATTGGAGTTTGATTCTTCAGTATGCTTATGACAAAGAAGGAATTCTAGTTCCTAATGATGAACAGATAGTAGATTTTTCGATGTATCAGTTTCCGATGGTCGTTGAAGATGATGAAGAGGTTTTTCCAAATGTTTCTGAAATTCTAAATGCAATGCTTCACAAAGTTGATCCATCTCATCCTGTATTGGTGAGTTATTTGACTACGATCAAATTGATATCAAAGCTGGTGTTTTGTTACCTAAAAGCACTAATTCATCAAAGATGAAGGGGTCTAAGAAAGAGACAAAGGAAAGTTCATCAAACACACAACCTGAGAAAGTTGAGAAGGTTGTTAAGTTTACTTCAAAGAAGGTAGTATTAACTGAACCACCTTCAAAGGTTGTTTCTAAGCCCCTTTCGAAGCCTGAAATGGAAGTCTTACCATCGAAATCTGGTGTGTTGAAAAATATGAAAAAGATGGCTCATAAACCATGCAATTATCCTGAAAGATCGAAAAGTTTTTCACCATCGTTTAATATCAAGCCACAAGTGAGTAGAAAGGGGGTTATTTTTCGAGAAGTTCAAGTACTTGTTTCTCCAGCTTAAAAGAAAAGGCATGCAAAAGACATGGCCAAATGTATTTCAAAGAAACAAAAGAAGAAGCAAAAGCTAATCATCAATGAAGAATCAATGGATGACAAAGTTGTGATTGTAACTCCAATTCAAGATGATACAATGGGTAATCCATTACCAACGAGGAATTCTCCAATCAAGTCAAGTTTCGAGGAGATTGGAAATTATGTTGGCTCTGTGAAAGAATCTAATTTAGACACAATGACTAATCAAGGTGATTCAGTGAAGGTATCTAATCTGAAGCAGACAACAATCATACCATCCGAGGTTTCACATACCGAGTCATTTCATAAGGAGGTTCAAACCTCAGACATCTCTGTGAACATATCTCATATGGACACAAATCTCAACATGGGTAAAGGGGTGTTAAATAACGAAGCCCTTCTCAATCAAGATCAAGGTAATCATACTCTTATTATTTCCTCATCCTTAGAAACTTCTACAGTTGATACTTCCACTCTTTACCACCATTTATCTCAATTGTTTCAACTTCTACCCATTCACCCACTTTCGACTCCATCCTTGATCAACCCATTACATCTTTGTTTTCATCTCAATCCACTGATCCCAACCTTGTTCAAGAAAATGAACAAACCGATGATGATGTGTTTGATGGTACTTTTGTTGATATTGAGTTTGATCAAGAAGAAGAGAATAATCTAGATAATATACTATTGACTAGGAAACAATTCAAAACTCTAAACACAAAGCTCAATTCATTGTTACAACTTCAGGTTGATGCAGGGGGCAAGAATTATGTATCTAGAATTGTAGTTGTTGTGTTGCCAAAAGGTCAATAGCATCGATTTCAGCACTCGATTGATTTGGTTGATCAAATAAATGAGAAAAGAGTAAAGGCACAATCTGATTTGTTTACTTATGAAGTGAAAGCTTTAAAGGATGTTTCCAAGGAAAGGCATGTCCTATTGATTCAAGATGTGAAGAAAGTTCGCAAAGATGTTAATCTTAAAATTCAAGAACTTCGTGAAGATATGGGAAAGGAAGTTGCAACATTAAATCATAATTATTCATCTCTTCACCAGAAGGTTGATATAATTGTTGGTGTTGTAACAAATTTTGTTACTTTGTATCAAGATCTTGTTCCGAAGTTTGATAAGATGGATGATGTTGATGTTCAGAGTTTTGCGAACATTGATACGTTTTTGGTTGAACTAAAGGGATTGGTTTTGAAGTCCAGTTTTGTTTCTTCTTCCTAGATTACTCCAGAACTTCTTTCTAAAAAGTTTACATTGTTGGAGTCTACCACACAGAAGGAGTTAGCACCACTTGTGAAGTCACTCAATATGATGCCAACGGATACCCCACCTATTTCCACAGGGGTACAAGTGGGAGAAAACGGAGTTGTTGGAACTAGTTAAAGAGTTGCGGAAGCGAATTGAATAAAAGAGATGATGATGCGAAGGTTGTTACGAGGGTATTGTCTATTCAAATTCCAACTTCTCTTCCCAAGGTGCCTACAGTTTTATCATCTACAACAACGACATCAAAACCAATTTTGAAATGGGTAGTTATTGGGATGGATGAGGGAGGTTCAATTTTGTCAAAAACACCTCTTACTTCTGAATAATTATTGAATAAAGGAAATGGTGTTTCTACAGAGTTATCCAAAGAAGAAAAGAAAGCAGCTATGGAACGAGAAATCGAAATGCAACGTCAAATTCAGAGTATTCTTCGACAGAGAGCCAATGATCTTCCTGGTCTGAAAAAAAAGGAGATCCTACCAAACATTATACTTACGAGTATATCAAAGCCTCAGCTGTTACAAGGGAGATGAGTGACTTTGAGAAGGTTCCAAAGAAAAGCTATGATACAGAGAACACCAACTTTAATCAGTTGGATTTTCCTATCAATCAAATGGAGTTTATGGATGAGCAATTTGAGATTGTTGATAAGTTCAAGGATAAAATTTTAACAGATGAAGTACATATTTCATGATGTTCTTGGAAAAAGGGAAGAGGAAATATGGTCCTTAGTCGAGATAGTTCGGGTTCTTAATATATCCAAAGACATTTTGTTCGAGGGTATGTTGCAGAATTATCGATATCATGTGGTCCGATCCAACAATGTTACTTTCAATTTCTCGATTGCAAAATTTCTGTTGATGAACCTTCATGATTTACTGTTTGTACAAAAGAAGATTTATTTATGGGGTTCACACATATAAAGGCTTTCATCGATGGCTATTATGCTGCTTTAGCTCTAACTGATGTAGTGTAACACCGTCAATTTTCAAACCAAAATTTTCATTTAAAAAAATACATGAAACTCATATATTATATTTCATAAAACCATATGTGTCTCAAATGTCAACATGAATCCACAAACAAAATTCATATCCCATCATCCTCAACATAATCACGAACAAGTGTGTACAATCACGTTGGCACCTTCATGTGGTCCTGAGAAGTATCTGAAACACATATCACACAACACGGTATGCACGAAACTTAGTAAGTTCCCCAAAATACCACATACACAAATAATAAACCTCTCATGGCTATAACTCGGCATGGACCCTCCGGTCTCATGCGTCTCGGTGTGGACCCTCCCGATCTCACAGCTCGGTTTGGAACCTCCAATCCTGTCTCAATGGAAATCTCCCGGTCCGAAAACTCAGGTTGGACCCTCCAGTCTGATCTCAGTAAAACACAAATATAGCATATATATCACATAGACAACATGCATAATATCACGTAACTCAAATAAGCATAGAAGACCCTCTAGTCACACATAGATACCACTCATGGTAAGTATAGTGACAAGACTCACTCGTAATAAGCTAGGTAAGCATGTACCCGTCGAACACGAGTCACCGAATCTAGCCTCCTCCTATTCCCACATGATAATTGACTCTAATTAACACTTTAATCATAACTCTAAGTAAACTAAGTTACTTCCTCTCTCTCTCTCTCTCTCTCTCTGTGTCTCTCTCTCTCAACTCTTGGAATGGGAAAAATAGCATTTTATCCATCCATGGTCTCCATAAGTCATGATTGACCAAAGCCTAAAGTCAACAGAAGTCAACTTGAGTCAACAGTCCATGTTGATCGAACTCATCGAGTGCATATATGCGACTCGTCGAGTTCTGTCGACATTCTCAGAATCTCACAAAAGTCCAACTCAACTCGTCAAGTTGACCCATCAACTCGCCAAGTTACTGCATGGTCAGGACCATCAGGACAACCCCAGCGGACTCGTCGAGTCAGCTCGTCGACTAGTCGAGTCCTTTCAAACTCATTTCTCATTCAGACGTTTTTAAGGCAGAAAACAACCCTAAACTCTAGATCTAACCTCCCATGGCTCGATTATCACGTAAAGCCACAAGCTTTACGTCCATGCATGGTACTTAGGGCTTGAAATGACAAAAACATGATTCATTAAGGGTTTTTCACTCAAGAGCTCCATTATGGTTGAATAAAGTTGGGACCATTGGACTCATGGGACCTCACAAGGTCCATATCTAAAGTCCAAACCTCTAGATGAACTGAAAGCACTTAAAGTCCTAAATAATATATGGAAGAAGACCTAAACTCCATAAATATGAGATCTAACCAACATAGTGAGAAAGGTGTCAACTTTTTACCTTTCATAGAAGCTTTGGATGAAAATAACAATAGATCTAATATCCCCTTCTCGTTTCTTGCTTGAAATCCTTCCCTTCTCTTCAAAAGATGCACTAAAACACTCAAGGATTAGCTCAATAACTCTCTAAGCTCCCTACCAACGATTAGGGTTTCACACAGGGGAGTAGGGTAGCTGGTGAGGTGGAAATGAGGACATAAGTTTCCTTAAATAGGCCCCAAACCCGGGGATTTAGGGTTTCCTCACACACCGCCTACTCGGCGAGTCGGCATCTCAAACTCATCGAGTCTGGCACCAACTCGTTGACTTGCTCAATAGATCTCAAAAATAAATAATTAAATAAATAAATACATGGGAATCCGGATGTTACATGTAGTGTTAGCTACAACATTAGGAAATCAGGTTTCACGTCCCAAATGGTCAAAGAATCAATTCAGTTTGAAAGATTATGAAGATGGGGAGATTTGTCTTACGCGACTTGGAATTGTGTTTTTTGGTAAGAATAAGAAAGGAAACAATACAAACAAGTGTGTGATGTTGAGAGATACACTTCTGCTCATTATACAAACCTATTAGTTTGAATGAATAGATGTGCCAAGAATAACGACGGAGAAAAAGCTGAAATTTGAAAGGTTATCAATTGGTACGGTGAAGTTCAAAGGATTTTGCATCAATTTTCTCAGAGTTTAACAACTTAGATTCGACATTTTTCACAAAGGGGGAGAATGTTGGGGTTCAAAGGTTATTGTGAGATGTCGAATATGTCTTTGTTGTTTGTAAATGTTGAAGTCTATTTGTAATTTTATTATAAGGACGCTTTAGTTTCGAAGCTTGTAATGTCAAATGTCCTTAAATTGGGTCTAAAATTTGGTTTATACTTTTCTTTCTAAGCATTTATTGTTTTCGGTCTATGAAAGAAAACCATCTTGGGTTTTTGTTTTAGCTTGACCGAAAATTGATGTGTTTTCGGTCAAGCAATTGGGTTATCGGTTTGGGCTTTGTACTTTGGGTCCATACCTATATATAGAAGTAAGGGTGAGGAGTGTAAGGGCTGGCCATTATTCCAAGGGAGCTTTCATTATCATTGTGTGTGTCCTAGAGAGAGAAAGTAGAGAGAAGAAGTGTGTGCGTATGTGTGAATCTTATGTTGGATCATCATTCTCCATTTCATCTTGCATCATCCACTTGATTGGGATTCCGCACCATCAAGCAGATCGGATTGATACATCAAGAAAATTTAGGGACTTACCAATTGGTATCAGAGCTTGGATCATAACAATTAAATTGGCAATATCTTGAAAGTTTTTGGATTTTTTTTTCTGGAACGATTTGGCATTTTTGGATGGTTTTGGACAAAATATTCGGCGTTTGTTCTTCGTGTTCTTGATAAAAATGAGTTTTTGATCAAGTTTTGGAGCTAAAAAGGTGAAAATTATGTTTTTTGGTCGTCACCTGCGAAGGCATGGCGACGGTTTTTGGTCAGCAGCTAGGTTTTGCGAGGGGTTTGCGGTCGGAAGTTGTCTGCGGTTTTCGGTCCGAAGTGTTTACAGCCGAAAGCGAGTTTGCGTTGGAGCGGGTCTCGGATGTTTTCGGCTTCGAACAGTTTTCGGTTGCGCATGTGTTCAATCACCAGTCTCGCACGTGTTCGGTTAGCAGCGAGATCTCGGTAGGTGCGAAATTTTGGCATTTTTGGCCCAAAAATCAAATTTTCAAATTTTAAAGTTTCGTTTGCGGCCTAAAGCTTTGACTTTTAATTTTTGACTTCATAATTTGACTTTTGACCTTAAAAATTGACTTTAACTTTCAAGTTTGACCTTTCACTTTCTCGTTTAACTTTTAAGTTTTCACGTTTAGCTTTTCGGTTTGACTTTTAAGTTTGACTTTTTAAATTTGACTTTTAAGGTTAACTTTCAAGGTTTTAAGTCAAAGGGTAATTTTTGATAAACAATTAATTCTTTAAACACCAAGGTCGATGAAACTCCATGTTCTAAATCTTGTGAAGCTATTATTAAGTTTCTTCGTGATCAGATCGATATATTAAAAAGAGAAAATGAGAACCTTAAGTATGAATGTTATACCCTTAGGAAAGGTCAAAAACCCTTAAAAGCACAACTAGAGGCCAAAACCAAGGACTTTAGGAAACTTATGGAAGAATACAACAACAAATGTGAGAATTATTGCTATATTAAGAGACAACTTGCTAGTTTAACTGCCAAACTTGATGCATTAAAGGCTAAATATAAAGATGTTGAATTCAACTTTAAGAAATTTGATGTGTCAAGTGAGGTAGGTTCATCCATCATAGAAAAACAATTAACATTTAAAGATAATCAAACTGAGGGTCTAGGGTATCACAGTGGTCCACCTTCTTTCAGTGATAACTATAACCCACCCCTTGAAACCAATGAAAAAGAAATACCTGCTCAGTATGGCCAAACCCCTATACCAGCTTCATTCAAGACTGAATGATCAGGGCCAACTGAGGGTGTTGAGATGAAAGATACTAATGTTTCTACTTCCTATGCAGGTAAAGTAACGGAAGATCGGAACAAGGAAAACATGATTAACTCTAGTTTTGTTGATTATGTTGATTGTCAAGTCTATGTCTCCTTAAAATTTAAATCTGTTGCATCTAATAAACCTGTTGTTGGTAAATACAAGCCACCAGAACAAGTGAAACAACCGGCTTCCTGTATGTATGCATGCGGGAATAATAAGAATGAGGCAAGGGCACGCCACCAGGGGCAGGCAGAAACAATTCCTACGTGAAGAAAAAGACATGTTTTCATTGTGGAACACCTGGACACATTGCCAGAAATTGTCCACATCGCGCATACATTCCCTACTATGCACTAGGTTGGAAGAATGCGACAATAGGGAGATATTTCAAAAGAAATCCTTCAAGGCCACATTCAAACAATGATAATTGGAACACCAAGAAAGGAAATAATCAAAGTCCCACGGTTAAGAAGGAAATGACGGCCTAGAATTCCAATTCAAGAGATGCTCCAGTGAAACCAAGACTGGTTAGGTTAAAGTCATCTCAACGATTGGCTTTAAGTTCAAAAGCAAGTGCTAAGGCATCCATCCGAACAAACAAGAAATAGGTTAAACCCAACTACAGATGGGTACCAAGGGTTCATTCTCCCAAATCACTTAATGATTCTAACATTTTTTTCATCCTCTGTTTGT